GGTTTCACTCTGGATACCGGCGTGTGAGCCCATCCTATGTCTCTTCTTCCCTTTATACAGCCTTTCTTTGTTTCTTTCGGGGCTGGGGATTGAACCCAGAGCCTTCACACTGAGCTACATCCCAGCCTTTTTATTTTTTATTTTGAGGCTAGGTCTTGCTAGGTCCCTGAGTTGCACACACTGGGCTCCAACTTGTCATCCTCCCGCCTCAGCCTCACAGAGTGCAGGGCTTGCAGACCAGCACCACCATGCCCGGCCACCTCTAAGGGGACATTGTAGGTCAACCTAGGATAGAAGGGTCCTCAGATGGCTGCCTGGAGTAGGGCTCCCTCCCAAGTCTTCACAAGGGTGTGCACACAGACGGCAGTAACCTCGCCAGTTAAAGACTAAAGTTCCAGGCCTTGGCTTGTGCATACTGTGGTGCAGCTTAGCTGACTGATGCAGTAATGAACTTACAGTTAAGTGGCTTCTTCACGTTGCCTGTTGTGTATTGTACCGAATGGGGTGTGGACATAAGGAGATAAAGGTGGCAAACGTATAACAAAATCATTTCTCAATACTAACATGAAAGACTGTCTTATTTTTGCCTGGTGCTGGGGATCAAACCCAGGGACTACTAGGCAAGTACTCTACCACCGAGCTACGCCCAGGCCTCCAGCCCATTTTTACTTTGTATTTTGAGATAAAGTCTTGTAAATTGTCCAGGCTGGGCTTCAATCTGCGAGCCTTATGCCTCAGCCTCCAGAGCTGCTGGGATTGGGGCGTTGCCATGGCGCTGGAGGAGGAGGGAGGGAGTTGCAGCTGGTGGCAACTTGAGTTTGAGTCCTGAGTCCTGTCCTGCTCCCGAGCACTAGGATGAATGGCCCTCCCCTCTCCAGTAACCATGGTGATGTAAAGCTGTTATGGCAGGAAAGAACTGAGATCTAAAGGCAAGTCGAGCGCCCTGTGAGGCTCGCCCCTTCCCTTCTCTGTGTCCCCTCCCAAGGCTGCTGCCCGAAGGCCCAGGCGCATGGTGAGTGAATGAATAGAGCCACTGATGCGGGGCACAGACAGCAGCCCATGCAAGACCTGTCGGCCCACACAGTGCCACTGGGAGCAACCCCTTTTCTGCTCCACCCAATACTGCCCTTGACTTTGGAACAAGCCCACAGGGGAACTGGGAGATGGGGCGCTCAGCGCTCTGTCTAAAGATCTCAGGGAACCCAGAGATGTCCATGCCTCAGCTTCTCTAGAGTGCATTGGGCTTAGACTGTGGCAGCTGTCAGGATGCAATGGCAGGCACTGGGCCCCAGGCTGTGTTCAGTGTCCACTGTCGGGGGGCTCTCAGTGCTCCCCAGGCTGACTGGCCACCTCCTAGGACAGCTGGGGACCCAGCCTGGCCCCTCTGCACCCTGCCACAGGCCTACCTGCAGGGAGATCTCTGAGACGTGACTGTCACAGGTCGCTCTCCCAGGATCCAGGCTCCATAAAGTCCCACTTCCCACAGTCACCACAGGACTGGCTGCCCCCGAGGGCCAGCGATGACCCCAGCCATGTGGCCTGCGTGTGCTGGGGGCAGGGGCAGAGGTCCGTGCCCCTCCCGACACTGCGACCACAGACTCCACTGACTGCTGCCTCTGCAACCCTCCACGACCCTCGCTCCTCTGCCATCTCCTGTGTCTGGACCGGCAGATACAGGCCTCAGGGTTACATGGGAGATGTAAGACAAACACAACACAGACCCACCAACAAGGTGAGGTCAGCTGTGCATTCTCAAACAGAGGAGCAAAGCTGGGTTTGAGGAGACTCCTTGTTGGGAGGAACAATTTTGAAGAGCCATGTTGCTCTTGCAGTTGGTGCAGAAGTTGTTATGGTCCAAATCCAGATGTCCTCCAAAGGCCTCATGCTCTCACAGGAGCGACTTTGGGACGGTGATTGGATTTGGGAGGTTTAGCGCTGACTTGCTGTTAGGAGACGGGATCGTGTTGGAAGAGGTGGGCCACTGGAGTGTGGCCTGGAAGACTATCATATTGTCCCCTGCTGCTCCTTTTTCCTTTCTCTCTGCTCCCTGCTGCTATAAGTCAGCAGCTCTCCACCATGCCATTTCCACCTTGGAGCCAGCTGAGGTGCATGGACTGGACCCTCAGAAACCATGAGCCAAAATAAACTTCTCGTCCTTTGAGTTGCAGGTGTCAGGTATTTTTGTCTCAGCAATGGGAAAGTGACTAATACACACACATCCCTTTCTCTTTCTCTCTTCTGCCTCTGCTGTTGTTTGATAACCTCTCCCTGAAACACTCATCCATTCTCTGTGTCTTGCAGCTGAGACAACACCAGTTCTCTCAGGAAGATCTCAGGAGTCCTGCCACTGCCCAGACTCAGAAGCCCTCTTCTCTGTTCCCATGAGCCCTATACTTCCTCTCTCCTACTTATCTGCCCACGTAGTGACTACCAGTCACCCTGTCTCATTCCCTAGCCCCTACCCTTCAGCAAAGTCTGATGGACAGAGGTTGTGTCTACAGGGTCCTCACTGCGTCCGCAGCCCCGAGAACATCTGACACACACAAGGGCATTCATCCTGTCAGACTCGGCTCAAATGCTCCATCCAGTAGGGTCTTTCTTCACAAGACCTTCCTCCTCCTCCTCCTCCTCCTCCTCCATCTCCTCCATCTCCTCCTCCACCTCCACCTCCTCCATCTCCTCCTCCACCTCCACCTCCTGCACCTCCTCCTCCTCCTCCTCCACCTCCACCTCCACCACCCTGCCACTAATGGCATCAGCACAGCACCACCACTACCGCCATCCTCATGGCAAAGCATCACCATCTCCACCCATCAGCAGCAGGACACCACCCTCATATCAGTACTCCATCCTTAGGACAGGCATGGCTACTGCTGTCACATTGTCACCATCATCAGTACCATCTCCACCTACTTCATTCCCACTTAAAACAGCAGTCCCAGGCCAGGGATTTAGCCTCGCAAGTGCAAGGTCCCAAGTTCGATCCCTGGTACCAAAAAAACCATCAGTCCCACCACCACCAGCACCACCATTACACAATAGCATCCTGACTGCAATCTTATCAGTGGCATCTCAACCACAGTCGTTACAACCACTGTCACCACCCTGAGCAGCAGCACCACCATGACCACCACGCCCACAGTAAACCATTGCCACCACCATTGTCACCACGGTCACCACAATCACCAGCCTCCCTCCCACCAGCATCAGCACCATCCTGCCACTGTTCCACCCCTGGTATAATCGCTGTCTCCGCTACCATCCCCACCACCTCCACTCCCACCACCTGAACCGCTGCTGCTACCCACCTTCTAAGCAAACCACGACCAGCATGACCAGCATCCCCATCCTCCCACCATTGCTGTCACTACTACAACTACCCCTAGCACTACTACCACAGCCGTGTGGCCACTGTCCCCACCATCAGCTGGGGTTAGGTCCCTCTGCTCTGCCCTCAAAGCCTGGGACAGGCATCTGCCCATATTGTTTTACAGTCACCACAAGGACAAGGACTTCTTCCTTTACACACCTGGCACGGCACTGGCACACGGAAAGCACAGACTGGTGAGTTAAGGAGAGGATGAATGAATGCTACTCCAAATAATAACAGCTCGAAGCCATGGGCATTGTTTCATCCACCTCTCACTACAGTCCCAGGAAGTGGTATTCTCACTGTCGCTGCCTTGAAGATAAGGAAGCTGAAGTTAGGAACTTTCCCAGGGTCACATGGGCAGTAAGCAGCTGAGCCTGACTTTGGCCCACTTCATCTGACCCCAGGCCACTGTGGCCATCACCCCATTGTACTTTGTCCCCACGTTCCCTTGTACTTCTAGCTGGGAGATGCAGACCTAGAGGCCCAGCCTTTATCTCATGGGAACCTCGCAGTCCTTGGAATGTGGGCTGCCGGGGGCCCTGACAGATTTGGCAGCTCAGCTACTGAGCCAGGCTACACCCTGACTGTGCCCCTCTTAAACAATACCCTTTCTCTCAGGGGACATTTTAAACCCTGGGCTAAGGGCTGATTGTGGGTGCCTGCTGCTAATGAGCTTCCTGTCTTCGAAGGGGAGGACCGAGGCTCTCTAATAAGCACAGCTGACTCGGGTCTGAGCCGTCCCAGCCCCCACAGGGAAGCCACATGCGTGAGGGACACGAGAGAAAGGACGCTCCCTCCTCTGCCATCAGGCTGGCCTCGGTCACAGTCACCCTGCCAGAGACCCCTCCCAGGACGACCGGGACCCACTGGAAACCCCTCCCCACGCCCAGGCCTGCAGGGGAGAGGGAGGGAGGCAGGGTCTGCGTGAGAAATCTCTACCCAAGCTCCGGCCGCAGGGCAGCCTGGCTCTGCGCCCTGCAGGCTTCCCCGAGCCTGGGTCCTTGGTCACCCCGCCCTCTGCCGCTCTCCCGTGGCCCAGCAGCCCCACCACGGACAACACAGCCACCCGGATGCATCTGTGGCCCAGTCTTGTAGACCAGATGACCAGGAGAGCTGAGGACTGCACCGGGAGTTACAGGTGAAGCCCAGATTTCAAGCTAGGCCCTCTCACTGCCCCCCACCCCCAAGCCCTGCTCCAGGGCCCTCCCAGGAGAGGAAGCCCTGCAGGGCCTCTGCGGCTCTGACGGCAGGGAAAGCAGGTGCAGCAGGCAGCGGACCTGCAGAGCCCCTGTCCTTGCTGTGGCTGTGTGCAGTGTGTCCCCCGGGTCCTGCGCGCCTTCCTCCGGCTCCCATCCCCAGCAGGGAGGGCGGTGCACGCAGGCGTGGGGAAGTGGGCTGCGAAGGATGCTCTCCTCCGCCGACAGTCTGCCCCGCCACGCTGGCTGCCCCCACAGTGCCCGCCTCTGCGTGGCCCTGCAGGGCTGACTCCAAGCTCCCTCGCCCCTTCCAAGGCCCAGCCGGAAGTCACTCTCTCAGCGACCCTCGGGCCCTGTCCCAGCCGGAAGTCATCCCTCACCCGTCCCCAGCTCCTGCGAGTCCCTTCCGGCCCTGCCTTCCCCTCCAGGGTTCCCGTGGTCCACAGTGGGGTCACGCCGCGCACAGGTGCGGGCTCAGGAGGGCTCCTGCCTCCGAGACATCGGGCCCTGGGCTCTGAGAGGCCGAGGCCCGGGACGCTCTTGGCTCCAGGCCGGGAGCCTGTGAGCACCCGTGTGAGGAGCGACCTCCCTCAAAACCGAGGCTCGCTGAGAATGGGTGAGGAAGCCATGGGAAAGGGAAGAGTGGACTATCTCCCTGGGAGTGACCCTCAGCTCCGCGGCGCTCCAAGCCTCCTGTGTGACACGATTTGGCCGTTTCCCCTTCTTATCCTGAAAGCAGACCGGAGACGCAGATGGCAGGGACCGGCTGCCGCCCGAGCGCACCCCCCCCCCCCCCCCCCCGGTCCAGGGCCCTCGCGCTGGGTTTCACCAGTCAGAGGGGCGACCTCTTTCACGGGTGGCCCCGAAAGCCCTCCCAGGGCGAACCTAGGGCGGACTGCGTGCCCTCAGAGGCAATGTGACAATTCCCAGGACCTGCTGATGCCTGGCAACTGCAAGTGGGCAAGGAATAAGGTCGCGAGACTCAAAGGTTGCACAGTTACTCCAGGGACAGGCGGAGCGGGCTGGGCTGGGGAGCAATGAGGCAAACACCCCTTCCCTGGCCCCGCCCTGCTCCCACCACGGCCCCTCCCACTGCCCGACCACAGTCCTTCCCCGAACTTCTGTTTTCCTGTCGGGGCCCACTCTGCTCCCACCCCAGCCCCTCCAGCTGCTGTGGCTCCACCAGGTCCACTAATCCAACTCTCTCTCCAAGTACTAAAGTGCTAAGTATTTATTTTAAGGTGGGAGAAAATTAGAGCCTGCAATTAGCACATTTTTCCAACACATTACCTAAACCACGGCTGCCCTGCGGGGCCGAGAGCAGCCCTAGTAAAATTAACACAGTTTATTAAACAGGCAAAGGCGTCCGGAGCTGAGCTGACACAGCAACCAGGCCAGGTCCCTCCCTCCCCGCAGCTCCAGGGTCTGAGATCTGCGTCACCCGAGTCGAGCCATTCCCTCTCTACATCTGTTTCCCAACTGCAAAACATGAAAAAGAAAAAACAAGCTTGTGTGATATACTTCAGTCTTGTTACTTAAGATTTTGCAGTTCGGGACCACGACCCTGCCCACGCACAGGGGACCAAATGCACTAACCTGTAAAGTGTTTTCTAACTCAGAAAAGCTCTACTTTATTGTTTGACATTTTCTCCTTCCATCTCTTTTTTCTTCTTTTTTCTCTTTTCTTTTTCTCTTTCTTCCTTTCTCTCCCTAGGTCAGGAAAGAACACACAGCCCTGTCCTTGTCCCTTTGAGGAAAAGGACAAGTGGGACGCGTCCCTGCTCCTGTGGGGCAGCACCAGCGGGCAGTGATGGAGAAGCTCAGGAACCGGGCAGCAGGCAGTGACCTGGCCACCGCATCGCAAGGTGCTACAGTCAGGGGCACGCGCTGGGACTCAGCGGCCAGGGAGGGGACACCAGGCCCAAAGCTGGACCGAGGGGCCACGTGGGGAGGATCAGGTGGAAACCCACACTAGGGGAGCAAGAAGTGGGCCTGGCCCCATATGCAAATTTCAGGTCCTCTCCCCAGACCCTCTATATCAGGATCTGCCCTTTAGTAAGATCTCGGGAAGATGTGAATGTGGATTCCATTTCAAGAATCGCTATTCTGGAGACCAGTGTGGGGGACACACACCTGTAATCCAAGCTCTGTGGGAGGCTGAGGCAGGCAGATCCGAGCTCGAGCCTAACCTGGTAACTTACCACCTTCCAAGGCACTGTCTCAAAATAAAAATTTATAAAAGGCCTGGGGACGTATGTAGCTCAACGGAAAGGCCCTGGCTCCCATCCCCAGTTTGGGGATGAAAAAGTGTCACGACTCTGGACTTTTTCTGTGACGAGTCAGAGAGAAATGTCATGGATGACAATCCTTAGGGTCTCTGTTCCAACCCTCAGGACCACTGCTGTCCGGGACAAAATGTGACAAAATGTGACAACATGTAACAAAATGAACGGGTGTGGCTGTGCTCCAATAAAGTTTTACTTATGGACACTGACATTTGAATTTCCTATAATTTTCACATGTTGTGGAAGAGTATTCTTCTTTTTACTTTTGTTCCGGCTATATAAAGCTATAAAAACCATTCATGGATCACGGGCCATGCAGACACAAGTATGAGGCCACATTTCACTCACAGATCACAGCTTTTGTGGTTTTTTGTTTCTGTTTTATTCCGTTTGCAGTATAGGGGATTGAATCCCATGCCTTCACAGAGCTACACCTCCAATCTTCCTTTTTTATTTTTACTTTGAGACAGGGCTTTGCTAAGTCACTAAGTTGCCCAGGCTGGGCTCAAATTTGCAATCCTTCTGCCTCAGCCTCCTAGAGTGCTGGAGTTACAGGGGGCATCACCATTCCCAACAACAGATCGTAGTTTGCCAACCCCAGCTCTGGACCACAGACCTGGGCATCTGGGCTGGGTCAGATCCCGGTAACCACTCTGGCTCCACCCCCTCCCGGGCCTCTGTGCACACTCCTGAGTGACACCGATTGATCTGTGAGTCCCCCAAGTGCCATTTGTGAGTTGCCTCCTGAAAGTCTCTCCTGCCAACTTTCCATCCGGTCTCAGCATTCACACCGCCAAAGACAGATGGAAGACTGCAGTAGTCCCCTGAGGCCTGCCTCTGGGGCCCTGTGAACGAGAGCTAGCTGCCCTCCCCAGCAAGACCCTGATCCCCAACACATCACACGTGGACCACTGCAAGGACACTCCGGCTGTGACAGAGTTAGACAAGCTGTCTACTGACACACATCTGGGCGACAAAACAGAAGCAGCTTCTGAGTCCAAAGTGTATCCTCAAAGTCATTTTCTAATGTGCTCTTTGTAGATGTTGATGTCTCTTGTGTGTTATTGGAGGGGAGACGCTTCCGCTGCCAACAGGAGGCAGTTTTGGAAACCACTGTTTGGAGGTGAAGCCATCTGCTTGAGTTTGTATTCTCTTCCCCAGGTGCCCTTTGGGGCCGCTCAGGTAGGACTATGTGATCCCGGGGGCCAGGTTTAGCTCCCTCTGGGCCCAGAACAGCCTGGTTCCCAGTGCGACACAGATGCTGTGGGCTTCCTGAGCTCAGCGTCCCTTGGACTCTCAGCAAACACACCCGACATCGGGCGTGGGAAGAGAGAGATTGGGGCTTTGCGGTCCTGGCACAGCCCGCAAGCGTGAGACAGGAGGACCGCGAGTTCAAGCCCAGACTAGGCAACTTGGGGACTTAGCAAGGCTCTGCCTCAAAATTTAAAACCCTAAAAATAAAAAGAGCTGGGGATGTAGCTCAGTGCAAAGACCCGAGGGTTAACCCCCAGTACGGGAGAGAGAGAGACAGAGACAGAGACAGAGAGAAGAGAGAATATTATGATTCCTAGATTTCCCCCCAGTAAAACAGCATGGAGTTTAGAAAATGCATTGGGATAGCTGTTTAAATTACAATCAGTTTCTCCTGAGTTGATTTGACTTGGATCTGCCTCCTAAAGGAATAGACCACTCAGCCTCCTTCCCATTCCATTCCAGTAGCAGTCGATCCACTCACTGGTCCCCTCCCTGCTCAGCGAGCTCGTGAATGTGGGCTGTGACTTCAGACTAAGGGATCTGGAGCTCCGACCCAGCACCTGGGCTGGCCCATCGGTAGGAACTGTGTGCTGAAAGCACCGGGATTCGAGTCTCTTACTGCAACAGGAGCCGCGACCCAAACCTTAGGCAATCCCTCCTCTCTCCCGGCCTTGGCATTTAGCTCTAGCACCCTCACAGACCTATGCATCCTGAGGGCATCAGAGCGGGAGAGACCCGGCGAGTATCCAGAGCCTCCAAGTCTCTCTAACCCTTCCTCAGAAGCCACCACTGGGAGCACAGCACTGGCCGGGCCACGTCCTCTGTCCAGCTGACCTCTGTGATTCCAAAGGCGTCTGGAAACCGGAAAGGGCGACTCAGGCCGGAAGGAAAACTGGCTGCTGAGTCCTCAACCCTACCCGGCCATTCCCAACCTCCCTGGGAGTTCCAGGAAAGCCTGCTCGGAATATCTGTTTCTTTATGCCTCCCTCATGCCCAAATCTGGTTATTTTTCCATGAATAACAAGTGGGAAGGGGAGACTGTGGGCTGAAATACAGGGCTTCATTTCCAGCTGCAACCCTGAGATCCTCTTTGATCCCTGTGCTGTTTACAGCAGGCGCCCCTGGCCCCCACAGCCAGCATTCTCCCAGGACAGTGCCCAAGGCCCTTCTCCTTCCAGCCGTATCTGTCAGTCTCAGGAGGAAATCGAGGCTCCTTCGTGCACAGCGGTCCCTGCGCCCAGGCTGAGGTTCCAGGAGGAGCCCTGCTCCGTGGGGCTGTCCCCACAGGGCACAGAGGAAGAGCAAACACAATGGCCACAAAGTCCCTCGGCCTCGGAGAGCCCTGTTCCCAGGCCAGGCCCCGGGGCCATACAATCCCTATTCATTACCACGGAGCTGACCTTGGGCGACTGGTCTGTCAGGTCAGGCCCCCACTGTTTCTTTGATATCAGCGTTTTATTCTTATAAGTCTGATGCATCCAGTGTCAGCTCACTGTGATAAAGAGAGGCCCATGAGGTATAGGAAGAAAGCATGGATTTCAGAATCCCAGGGCTGGGGCCAAACCACCTTTTCCATTCTCACTGGGTGATGGGCTTTGGCCTAGGTGCTTGCTTGTTTCTGAGCTTCAGTTTTATTACTGTACAATGGGACCAATAATATATACAATCGACCTAAGGTGAAGATTAAAATGGATAAATCGTGAAAGATGCATAATAAATATTTGTTCTCTTCTCCAGTGTCCTATGACTTGATATGTTTCAGAAGTTCCAGGACATAGATGGTATTCCAGAACCTAGAAATATCAAATATGGAATTGAATTAGGAGAATAAAACATAAAATCAACCCAGAGAATAGAAGAAAGTATTTGCAAATAAAGATAAGGGATTAAGATCCAGGAAATATAAATATATATATCACTGTTACAACTCGACAATAAAATGACAACCCAATTAAGATAGAGAAAAGGATATGAATGGCATTTCTTCTAAGAAGATGTACAAATACAAGTGGCCAATAAGTGCATGAAAATATGCTCAACATCCTTGTTCATTAGGGGAATGTAAACCCAAACCACAAGATATCATTTGACTGCTAAGACAGTCATAATAAAAAAGATAGACGAGGGCCAGGGATTTAGCTCAGTGGCTCCACCGCCTGCCTCACAAGCACAAGGTCCCAAGTTCGATCCCTGGTACCAAAAAAAAAAAAGATAGACGAAAGCAAGTATTGGTAAGAATGTAGAGACTTTGAAACCCTCCTGTGTAGCTGTTTGGAGCATGAAATTGTGCGGCTGCTGTGGAAATCAGATGGCAGTTCCTCAAAGCAACCTAGCAATTCCACCCCTAGGTGCACACACAGGACAGAGGAAGATGTGTATTCACTCAAAACCATGTTGGCAAATTATCAGAAGAGCACTATTCATAATGGCTGGAATATAGCAAGGCCCCAGGGTCTCCAGTGGATGGGGTGAATAAAATGTGGTATAGCTATAGAATGGAACATTATTTCAGCACATAAAGGAAAGAAGTGCTGGCACATGGGACCACACGGACGATTCCTGAAAATGAACTAAGCCAGACATTGGGTCCATATGGCATGTCCACATCTGGGAAACTCTAGGGAGAAGATAGATCAGCGGTTGCCAGGGTTACAGGGGTAAAGTGGGTACAGGGTTTCTTCTTGAGGTGCTAAAATTTTTCTAAAATTAAATAGTGATACTGGGTGCACAACTATGAATATATTAAAAATCGCTGAAATATACACGTTTAACAAATGAATTTTATTATATGCAAAATAGATCTCAATAAAGTTGCTTTAAAAAAGTAGAACTCACTCAATGAGACCTACTTCTGTACAACAGGGCACTCAAAACCACCATCTAGAACAAAGATCCGCCACCCCTGAGACCTGAAAAGTAGCATGGGTTCCTTCTGATTCAGACCCGAGGTGACACCAGGCCTAGACCCACACCTGGGCTTTCAAAACGAGGAGGGGTCCGCACCCCCGGAAGTGAGGGAGGAGAAGGCGCCTGAGCCACCTGCAAGCCGAACAGAAACAAGGCCACACCCTCATCTCTTCATTTCGTTCCGAGAAAGACAGATTCGCCAAGGAGCAGGGAACCGAGCTGTTCCACTTGGAAATTGGTTGGCTTGGTTGAAATCTTTTGAGTGAATGTCTGAGAGCCTGCGTGTGCACACCTGCCCCCCGCAGCCGCGCCTGGACTGGAACTCGGGATGTGACACCCAGGCAGGCTCGCCTGTCACGGCCCTGCTCGAGCTGCCACCCCCGTCAGGTCATCACGTCCCCCCTCGGTCAGGGCACCGTGAGGCGGCAACCACGCCTTCCACCCGCTCCATCCACGTCCTCCTAGGCCGCCGAAGTCTGCCCTGCACTACAGCAGTGGGCCTTGAAGAGCGCCAGCTGCCCAGGAGCCCTGGCTCCGCACCCTGCATGGCTGAGGGCCAGGTCCTGGAGGTGGTGCAGCTTCCTGAGAGCCCCACCCTCAGCCCCTAGCTACTCACCACCCTCCTCCCTGGTCAGCCTCAAACACCTCGGCCAGGCGCCTCCTGGGCGCTGCACCCCTGCAGTGTCCTCCACCAGGAGTGCTGCATGGAGCTCATCCTCGTGGTCCCAAGGCTCCGCCTGAGTTCCTTGCTAGTGAGAACTTCCAGGACCATTTTCTCTGCCAAGCCAGCCCCATCCTCAGTGTTTTCTTCCTATCCTGTGCCACTGTCCTCCCACTGTATTCTGCCTTCCTTCTTCATATCGGTCCCTCCCCCTTTTAGACAGAGGCCCCACAGGGGCAGGCAGGCCGCTCTGTCTACTCCTGGGTTTCCAGCACCCTGCACAGTGCCTGGCACATAGCAGGTGTGGCGGATTAATTAACGGTCGACTGGAGTGGGAAGGCCCAATTGGACTGAGTCATCGAGGTTCTGGGCCTGGAAGACCCACCTGAGGATTGTTGGAACGGCATAAAAGGAGACCAGAGGAGAGGATTTCTTGCTGCTGATTTTCCCAGAGAAGCTTTGTTGCAGCTGGTTTTCCTGATACAAACTCGGCTGTTGAGCTTGTCGCTGGGGACAGCTACTGCTCTCTTTGAGTGACCCCTGGTCTTCACTTTCATCTTGAGCATCGCTTCCTGGCTCCAGTGCAGACCCCTCAGCCTCTGACAGATGCTCAGCCTCTAGCTCCAGCCTCGGGCTTTCTGGAGCAGACCCTGCAGGCTTCCACAGCAGATTCTCGGCCTCCTGGGAGAATGTACAGGGGACATCACAGGGGGCTCCGGCCCTCAGCGGGATTCTGAGGGTCTCTAGTGCGTGCACAGATCTCTTGCATTCTTCTGCATTTGACTTTGTAGGTAAAAACTGTAAGATGATCTCTTAAATGAATGTGTCCTGTGTCAAGTGTGTTCTCTTGCAACCACTAATAGAGTAGATGCTCAGGAAATCCGTGTTGAATGAATGGATGGTGCTTTGCCTCGAACACAGTACCTGTATCTTTTAAGGGCTGGGCAGAGATTGGAGGACCAGCCAGACTGAGACCTCAGCCAGAACTGAGGGCAGCAAATGAAAGCAGAGCTGTATCCAGCACGGAGTGATGGCAGGGAGAAGGCCAGCAGTTTCGAAAGCCACAGAGAGAGCAACAATATAGAGACTGAAAAGAGTGGCAGAAAAGACGAACACAAGGACCATCAAGGAAATTTTTCCTATGAAA